CAATTTTTTATTCCTGAACTGTTTTTTATTGAAAACTGAATACATTTACCTTTTTAAAGTGCTCAAAAAGTCTGAAATTGATTGAAAAACCATGGTACACGATGATATTAAAGCTGAGAAAAATAAGAAATCATCATTTATATCAATATATCATTTAATGTCTAATAATAATAATGTTTAATATCGTTTTAAATAAAGCATAAGTAGAATTTTTCTAATATATACTTAAAAAAAAGAAATGCAAAATAAAATAAATTGGTGTAATTTCGACATTTTTGGTCGAAAAAGCTCAACCCGGAACCTCTAGGAATCACCTGAAGGCTTTTAAACTAGTTACGTATTTATTTATATCCCCACCCTCACATTATTCTGTGCGAAAACTTTTGGATTCATGCATTTCAAATTTTTCATACAACAAAAAGGCCACTCTAATGTATATGCATGCATATTTAGGTATGTATTTATGAATTTCAACATTTCACTTAATATTACTTCCAAAATTAATTGTAGTAGTGCTATGTAAAAATATTTGTCATCTAGAGGCGAGCGCCCGCTTGTGGGTGTCACCATAATATTGTTATAACTTTAGAACTACTTGTTGTCTAAACCTGAAACTTTCCCAAAAATGTCCGTATATATTTGTCTTTAAGGCTGCATTAAAACAAAACAAAAATTTTAAACTTCATAACACAACTTTTGTATTTGTAAAAACAACCTCCTTAATTTTTATAAAAATGTTACAATATCCACCATTTCGTTTTAAATAAGTATTAAGAAATGCAGTTAGACTCATCTTCTTTAGAATAGAATCTAGTTTATTGTGTACAAATTTCAAATCATAAAGGTCTGCGATACAGCGAGTTCAAATGAAAATTTCGCTAAAATTGGCCGCTGTGAAAAATCAAGTTTTGTGGCTTTTTCGGCATGAAGCAAAATATCGCCTTGAGACGACATGCGCAGAGAGAGGCAATTTTTATACCCGAACGCAATTGCGCACAAGGGAATATTAATTTTGTTCACATAACGGCTGTTTGTAACAGCCAAAACGAATCGAGATAGATATAGACAAATGTAGACATAAATGCTCAGAATGAATAGAGAAGTCGATTAAGCCATGTCTGTCTGTCCGTCCGTCTGTCCGTCCGCCCATGTACAAGATAACTCGAGCAAAACTTGAGATATCTCAACGAAATTTGGTACGTAGGTTTCCGTTAATCCGAGGTAGGTCGGTATTGAAAATGGGCGAAATCGGACAGTAACCACGCCCACTTTCCATATAACGGTAATTTCCAGAAATACGAAAACTGCGATATTTCAGTAACTACTGAAGATAATTAACTCAAAATGGATATTTACAATAATTTTCGGACCAAAAATAAGAATATTATAAATTTTTGGAAAATGGGCGTAGCCACGCCCACTCATGGTAACATGTGTATATCTTGGTAACCGCTGCACCAATTTCTTCCAAACTTGGCACAGTTGTTGACCTTGATACAGCATACTAAATGGCCCAAAATTTAAAAAATCGGAAATTAACCACGCCCACATCCCATATAACGGTAATTTTCACAAATACGGAAACTGCTTTATTTTAGTTACGACTGAAGATAATTCACTCAAAATTGATATTTACAATAAATTTCAGACGAAAAATAAGAATATTATAAATTTTTATAAAATGGGCGTAGCCACGCCCACTTATGGTTACATGTGCATATCTTGGTAACCGCTGCACCAATTTCTTCCAAGCTTGGCACAGTTGTTTGCCTTGCTACTAAATGGCCGAAAATTTTAAAAATCTGACAATAACCACGCCCACATCCCATATAACGGTAATTTAGAGAAATACAAAATCTTCGATAAATCAGAAAATATTAAAGCTAATTTGTTCAAAATTGATTCTTGCAACACTTCTTTACCGAGAAATACGTTTATGGTAAACTTTTGGAAAATGGGCGTGGCACCGCCCACTTATGATCACATACATATATGTATATCGGTAACCGTTATACCAATTTGTACCAAACTTGGTATTTTTATTGTCCTTGCCACATAAAAACAAAACGTTGAAAATTATTGAAATCGGACTTAAATTACGGCCGCTTTTCATATAACGGTAAATTTCAGAAATGCGTGAAACTGAAATATTTCGAAATTTAAGGACGCTAATTTACTCTTACTATCTAGCGGTAGCTTTCGGAAAGGTTAAAAAACATATATTTAATACTTGCGCCGGGTATTTAATGTTCGGCTCCGCCCGAACTTAGAGTTTCTTACTTGTTATTTCTCGGATTGCGCGACCTTCTATGTACAGATCTTGTATGCACCAATATCTACCGCAGTAAAGGTATAATTTGCATCACAGGCTGCCAGAAGAACTATTGAATAGTTACCCTTATAATTATAAAAAGGGGCCGATGTTGTTCAGGCAAAATATATTTATACTAGATCGCCCTCATCCGCTTCGCTGAGTGTATGAAATTTTTGCGTGCTACATAGAGTAAAATTTATTTCAAGAAAACTCAATTCAAAAACAGGAGGTTTAAAATTTGTTTAACCATCTTCAAAATATTTTCACACTATAACTTTTTAAAGCTAAGCGTACACGGTAGATAAATCTCTCTAGATTTTTACTGAAATAGAAATCTCCTCTCTCAATTAAGTTTGCATGGTAGAGCAACTCTAGGAGATATTCATTCTAGCTAGAGACAAAATAGAGAAATCTTAACATTTCTCTATCCCGTACTCTACAAGCTCTTTACACGGTAGACAATAGTTACCTCTCGCCTCGAGTTAGTTTTCTATCTCCAATTGTTGTCAACGCTTGTTGTATGTATGTATATATGTATTTATATCAAAGCCACGATGTAGAAAATATAGTTGGCGCCATCAGCGGAGCGCTTATCCTTCGTCGATTTGACAGCATTCACCTATTTGCTGACGTCATAAAATACATTTTCGCAATATGGACAAGAATTAAATTTTCAAATTGTACTCAATTGCCAAAAAAAAATTTACCTAAAAGTAGACAAACGTACCTAACAATTAAACATGGCAACCTCTCTCTGCGATACTATGTGTACTTTTGGACTCACATCAAATAATCTTTAATATTAATTATTTAATAAGATGGACAGAAAAATGCCAATCACCTGCCCGGGTCGGGAGCGTGCAAAGCCTTCAGGGATGCCCTTGCTGAGGCTAAGACAAAGCTTGGAAGAACATGATTAAATTTATACAAAGCAATAAGAGCAGGAGTAGGGTAGCTGATGACCTGCTGGACCAATTGGTTCTTGAACAAAGAGCAGACGTTGTCATCATCAGTGAACCCTATAGAACAAAGGAAACCTGGCATGTTGACCAATCAGGCTCGGCCGCGGTATGGATTGCTAACCCCAACCATCGCGCAGAGAGCAGGGGGCTCGACGCTGCTACGTCTGGGTGAAAATGGCACAAATAACTCTGGTGAGCTGCTAGCTGTCTCCAAACGACACAGTCCTTGTCTTCCCGGAAAAGCTCGAAGACCTTGAAGACGAATTGCGCGATATAACCGGCCACATAATTGATGCTGGAGATTTCAACACAAGAGGCGTGGAATGGGGTATGCCCCAGACAAACACCAGGGGAAGACTGGTCCTTGAAATGGNTGGTGAGCTGCTACCTGTCTCCAAACGACACAGTCCCTGTCTTCAGGGGAAAGCTCGAAGACCTTGAAGACGAATTGCGCGATATAACCGGCCACATAATTGATGCTGGAGATTTCAACACAAGAGGCGTGGAATGGGGTNCCAACCATCGCGCAGAGAGCAGCGGGGTAGGACGCTGCTACGTCTGGGTTAAAATGGCGCAAATCACTGTGGTGAGCTGCTACCTGTCTCCAAACGACACAGTCCCTGTCTTCAGGGGAAAGCTCGAAGACCTTGAAGACGAATTGCGCGATATAACCGGCCACATAATTGTTGCTGGAGATTTCAACGCAAGAGGCGTGGAATGGGGTATGCCCCAAACAAACACCAGGGGAAGACTGGTCCTTGAAATGGCAGCCCGCATTGGCCTGACCATCCTCAACACCGGAACGACCCCTACATATCGAAGGCCGGGTTCTGGACACTCTATCCCTGACATAACCCTGGTCTCAGCAAGCCTATTTGGTTGGTAGCGACCACAACTACATCACCTTCCAAGTCACTGACACAACACNAAGGGCTGACGGATGGAGAGTGATGGAAGACCTGAGTGGTAGCGACCACAACTACATCACCTTCCAAGTCACTGACATCACGCGAGGGCAAACACGTAGTATCCCTCGCAGGAAACCAGGATGGAACCCGTCTAGGGTCGATGTTCGCAAGTTCGATACGTCACTCCTAGCAGATTCCCAAGGCATTTCACCCACAACGGGAGAGATCCACAACAGGGAGTCTTGTACTAAGCTGGTCGAAGAAACTATACGCTGCATTCACCGGGCATGCAAAGCCTCATTGCCACAGAGGAGAGCATGGTCAGGTAAAAGCNGAGAGATCCACAACAGGGAGTCTTGTACTAAGCTGGTCGAAGAAACTATGCGCTGCATTCACCGGGCATGCAAAGCCTCAATGCCACAGAGGAGAGCATGGTCAGGTAAAAAGCAGGTATACTGGTGGAATGACCGAATTGCTGAGCTGCGAAGGGCCTGCCATAGAATGCGGAGACTCGCAACGCGCGCTCGTGGTAGACCCGAGGCGCTGACCAGAGCAGCAGCCTACAAAAGCGCTAAGAAAGAACTTGGGGCCGAGATACAGAAGAGTAAACGGATCTGCTGGAAAGCCCTGTGTGAGGAAGTCGATCATNGCGCGCTCGTGGTAGACCCGAGGCGCTGACCAGAGCAGCAGCCTACAAAAGCGCAAAGAAAGCACTTGGGGCCGAGATACAGAAGAGCAAACGGAACTGCTGGAAAGCGCTATGCGACGAAGTGGATCGCGATCCCTGGGGCCAGGGATACAAAATAGTGATGAAAAAGTTCCATACATCATCACAGGCGATGGATGAGGCCCGAGTTAAGAATATAGTGGATGCGCTATTTCCCACACACCCACTAAGAGCCGACACAGTGTTCGTCGAGGAGCAAGCCGAGGCACCACTGTTTTCGACAGACGAGCTGAAGCTAGTCCTGCGAAGCATGAAAGCAGGCAAGGCTCCAGGCCCAGATGGCATACCATCGAAGGCAATCAGGTTAGCAGCGAAAACGAGCCCCGATCTCCTGCTTAACATGAACAACAGCTGCCTTAGGGCCCGGGTCTTCATGGTCTGAAATTGGCTATAGCCAAAACGGAGATCGTGCTTCTCACCAGGAAACGGATCCCAACAATTATAAATATAATGGTCGGACCTCAACCCGTGACGACTTCTAGGTCTACAAAATACCTAGGGGTGAAGCTTGACAGCAAACTCACATTCTGGGAACACATCCATGGAGTATGTGAAAAAGCTGCGCAGAGCACGGCGGCTCTAAGCCGGCTGATGGCAAACGTGGGCGGCCCGAAGCCATGCCGCAGGAAGCTTCTGATGACAGCGGTCCAATCGGTGCTCCTGTACGGGGCAGAAATATGGGCTGACGCATTGAAAGTCCAAAAATACCGGATTCAAATGTCTTCGGTCCAGCGCAGAGGGGCACTACGCATTGCCTCTGCATACCGTACAGTGTCCGCAGATGCGGTTCTAGTTATTTCTGGCGTCATGCTAATTGAGCTACTTGCTTGCGAGCGAAAAGAGATTTACAATCTCAGTGCCGAGATAGGTCGAGCAGCTGCCGCGGCAAGGGCGCGCGAGCAACTGATCCAGCAGTGGCAACAAAACTGGAACGCGAGCACAAAAGGTCGATGGACACACTCCCTGATAGCCGACCTTCAAACATGGCTGAACAGACCACATGGGGAAGTCGATTTCTACCTGACGCAATTCCTCACCGGTCATGGTTACTTCCGAGAATATCTTCATAGAATGGGAAGGGTGGACTCACCGTTCTGTCACTACTATGGAAACGTCGAAGATAACGTGTACCACACATTCTTCACCTGCGAACACTTCTTGATTTCGCGCAGAATGTTGGAAGAAAGACACGGAGACATTACTCCGGACAACATAGTTGGGATAATGATTTCCAGCGCAGAAAAGTGGGAAGCAGTTGCGAGATACGTGAAATTCGTACTCCGCTGCAAACGAGAGGACGGTTGTCTACTGAGGACACCCGAATGAAACGCCCCTACAAAAGAGCAGCCCCAAGGCTCTAACAGCGCGCTCCTGCATCTGAAGACATGCAGAATTGCGGTGCCAGATGCGGGATTCTTGCGCGGGCGGTGGGAGTTTGGGTTTTAGTGGGTAGCCCAACACGCTTCGGTGGGAGTCCCACACTCGGGGAAGGTAGTTTAGAGACTAGCGCCCCCGGCCAGTGCATAAAGCATTTCCCTCTCCTACGAAAAAAAATAAAAATAAAAAATCGACCAAAAATATTTCCAGAGAAATGCAGTATGAAAAATTCCGTTTGTATGGGAGGTGCCACGCCCTCTTTCCTAATCGAGATTAAATGTATCCTAATGTTGGGCTAAATGACAGAAGTGTACAAAATTTCATGATGATCGGTTGAATAGTTAAAGCGTGAAAGCGTAGCAAACAAATAAACTCACTTTCGGATTGATAATATTAGTAAGGATGAGTATCAGTCGAAATGGTTTTGAAAGTGAGTCAGATAGCTTGCGTATAATTAATTTAAATTAGACTTTGCAAACATATGGCAACCCTTTAAACGATATATTCAAACGACAGAATTTTTAAGCCTCTTGGCATCCATTTTTTTAATATAATTTTCAAATAAAAAACTCCCTTAATTGAAGTTGAATTTAATTTTTTTAAAACCTGGCAGCCTTCATCCATGAGCAAATAATGATTTTATATATCTCCAAACCAACTTCCAGTAATCTACCAAAAATATTTCCTGAGAAATGCAGTATGAAAAATTCCGTTTGTCTAATCGAAATTAAATGTATCCTTTATTTTAAGTTGACCTAAATGACCGGAGTGTACAAAATTTCATGATGATCGGTTGAGTAGTTAAAGCGTAGCAAACAAACAAACTCACTTTCGGATTTATAATATTAGTAAGGATGTTTGCCGTCAATAGCGGAAACACAATTAGGTAGATCCCACATTGAATAAAAATCGTTGGCAATGCGTTTCCATTCATTCTTCTGTGGAACCCATAAATAAATTGGACCAAGTACTTCCCATAAGACATCACACGTCTCTCCAACGACTGCTTTCATTGTGGAGAGACCTATTTTAAAGGCAGAATAATGAAACTGCTGCGCTAAATATCTATATACATACATAATTTTTCAAAAACTGATGTTAGTTTCCCATGCGAGTTTGTGTACATATCTATGGCATTTTATGGCTAGTTAATCGTTGTTTGGGAACCCAATGAAATATCGCTTTAAAGAGATAATGGCTTATCTCATGATAAGTTGCCTTAATAATATGCCACAGATATATATATTACATAAATTATATATAGATATGTACAATAAATACAAATAAATACAAACTTACGTGGGCGTTAAATATAGGCGGCATTCTGGCGAAATGGACGGCCTATTAAAATTTTTTGTAACTTTCTCCTTAATCAAGTTAAGGAGCAAGTCGAAAACTTGCTTCTCCATCCTAACATTGTTTTTAAATTCCTCCTGGAATCGAAAATTTGCAGTGAAGAAGCCACGTGTCCCGATCCCGCAGGGAAGGTCGCACCCACCATCTACGACTGCCATAAAGCCTCTTAATACACTCACTGGCTTCCAACAACAGAAGCACAATAATTATTATTTGAATTTTTTGCATTTCGAAGTTTTGCTTTGGGATATTTAATTTTTAATGGGACACCGAAAAATTTTCTGCTTTTATAAGAACGTTTGCCGCTAATAGAAATCAGCTGATTTGTTTACACGCATCGAATACTTCATTGTGGCATCCCTCTACGTTACGTAAGTCATGTCGGACGGACTATTGACTGAAGTAAAGGAGAAGTGCTGATTTTGACGGACGCTTTAGGTTTTCTATTGGCTATCTCTCTCACGAACCTGCCACTCAGTGACTTCTATCTGCTCTTACAATGTTCCTCTATTGAAAAAGAAACTTTAGTACTCATCCCCAGATAGTAAATTGGCCAATACATGGAAATAGAAACCACCCAGTAGAAGCTCGATGCATACGACATCGCTGTTGGTGGCATGAGCTTGCTGCTGTGTATACATGCCAGTATAAGTGAACCTTCATTTCCATTTAACACGCGTGGTTTCTCAGGTTTCTCAGAGCGTATGCGTAGTCTAACCATACTGCTGTGTGCACATGGCTGTATTAATATTTCAAACATACAAAAACGCATTAATCGAACAGTATTAAAGCATTCTTAGAAGATATGTATCCCCATATGTAAATGCTAATTTTCTGATACATTTTAATATATGGGGACATATAAAAAAGTAGCATTTACATATGCAAATGCTTATCTTGTAAAAGCCCGTTAGTGCTGAAAATATTATCGCACACCATGCCCGTTCACTAAAATTTTTGTACAAGACTGAAAATATTACAAAAATTCCGCTTCAAAATTATCACGAAATGTATTAAAACAACGACAACGTACGTTCGCTTGCAGTTCGCTAGATTTGAATTTATTTGTGGAAATTCATGACTACGCATGAATTGCTCACACTAATTCACTCACATAGCAAGTATTCTTCATGAATGCATGCAACCGATTTCTACTGGGTACTTACCTGAAACTACTTCAAATATTTGTTGCGAAATAATTGCGATCTCTTGTCGAAGAGGCATGGCTGCGTTTTCATGGTTTCGATTATCCTTTCCTCCATTATTTACTTGCTGAAAGGTTAAAATCTATGTTTTAAGTACCAATTCTAGTTAATTTTTATATTTACCTTGATTTTTTCTGCAAAAGTCTTTGGCGGCGGAATTGGTAAAAGAAAGAATAATTACAATCAGCTGATTGTTAAAGCGCCCGAAAAGATAAGAGTTGCCCATCTTTAAGCTTGGCGCTGAAATTAAAAAGTTCTACGTGACATATTTCATGCTTTCTCATACATTTTCTCTTATCGGTCAAAGCAAAGTGAAGCAAAAGTTTATCTGGCATCAGCTTTATCAAATGATTTTATTTTAATATTCTTCTAAATATATGTATATATATTAAGGCTTAAAGGCATTGTTGCTCCACCACAAAAATGAAATTCCGTCGATTCCTCTAGCATATACCACTGATATGAAGGAGTCCAACACTGTAATGGAACAAATGCTTGGAAACATTGGGTCTGGGACACATAAATGGCAAGTGGTCAGTGATTTAAAGGTTTTATCAATTTTAATAGGAATACAAGGAGGATATGTTAAGTACCGTTGTTAATTTTGCGAGTGGAATAGTCCAGCGGTGAATAAATACGAAAGAAAAGAGTGGCCTCGACGAAAAATGTTTCAAAGCGGGTGAAAAATGTACTCATGATACCACTGATACTACTGGAAAAAATTATATTGCCACCGCTCCATCTCAAAATTGGTTATATGAAACAATTTTTTCAAAAAACTCAATACTGACAGCGACGGTTTTCAATACATTCGAGGTATATTTCCTAGGCTATGCGAAGCAAAAATAAAAGAAGGTACTAATCATATTAAATCGAACGAGGATGCTATATATAGTAGAGCTCTAGATACCCGGATATCGAGCAATGCGAGTAGCTCGATACTCGCTCGAAACTCGTTCATTGCTCAACTGCTCAAATGTTTGTTCAAAATTTTCGAGTTTTGAACAATTTCATAAACAAAAGAAAATTTGTAAATTGTATTTGTCAGCAGCTGCTTTCTAATACATGTTAAATAAACTATATTATTAAATACCAACGTAACAATCTTTGCATTATATATCAATAATTTGAAAAATTTAAAAAGTTGCTACCAAAAATGTCAATATAATAAAAAAAAACATTGCTCAAATTACTCGAAAAAACACGAATTGCTCGAGCTCATGCTCGGAAATTTTCGAGTAATGAGCATTGAACAAGTGTGCGAGTACTCGCTGCTCATATACCCGGGCTGTTTGAAAATGTGCGAACAAAATCGAGAGCTCTAATATATAGTAAATCTTCAACTTTAGGGATATTTATTGGACCACAAATTCGCAAATGAAAGATGAAGATTTTGGATCTAAATTAAGTCCAGTTGAAAAAAAGCATAGGACAGCTTCATTTGCCTAACCAAAAATGTCCTAGGCAATAAAGGAAGTGAAAATTACGCTAACGTTGTTGACGAGTTTCTTGATACATGTTTTGAAATGGGGTGTAGGTTGGCAATCAAAATTCATTTTCTACATGCACATTTAACTTATTTTCCTGAAAACTTGAGCCAATTAAGTGGCGAACAAGGCGAGAGGATGCTTCAGGAAATGGATGCGGAAAAGAAAAGATTTCAGAATAAAAAAAAACTGAGCACGCTAGCGGACTATTGCTGGTATCTGAAAACAGAAACAATCGACGATGTGTACAAAAAAAGCGACATAAGAGTTTGTTTTTGCTCTTCATAATAAATGTTTGTTAAATAAAGTAAATATGAAACGTAACGTTCGCAAACGTGCTAAGTCCATTTTTTTAATTTTTCAGGAGGGACAAAAAACCGTCTAACTTTTTTTGTTGTTAATATTTTCCTAATCTGTAAATGCAGTTTTCTTCCTTAGATCGTCTTGTTTCAGTAACAATAATCTGCCAATTTCAAAACAGACTTATAGGCTCTTTTGGAACTTACCACATTTTCTTTTTATGATTTTGTTCTTTTAATTGGACTAGCACATTTTCTATCAATCTGTTTTTCATTACTTTTTTTATTGATAAAAGATTAAGTCGTTTATTTTAAATATATTTGATTGTTTAAAAATGAATAATAACCTCATACAGTCTTATTTCACAGCTTTTAACAAAAATACCTATCTTAATTCGTAAATTTATGTACCATTTATAAAGGAAAATAATTAGAAACAAGTAAAGGAGTATAAGTTTGGGCGAAACCGTACTCTACATACCCGGCGCAAATATCAAATATTGTCGTCTCAATTTTCTGTAAACTGCCTTTGCATGATAAGCAGGGGTGTTTTTCCTGATTTCAATCATTTTCGATAAGATGATGAGTTAAACTCAATGATTTAATTGAACCAAGTTTGGTAAAAATCGATAAAAGGTTATAGAGAAAATGGGCTAATGCCGCAACTGCCCCCTTCCCGTTAAAACCCTGCAGATGCTGTCGCCACCGGGATGGCAGGAGTGCCAGAACCGGACTACGTGGGGGTCTCTAGGCAAGGGGCCGGATTGAGCGAGCGATTTAGGGGGGTGCAGGACGGAATCGCCAGCACCAGAGCGGGGTCTGTCCTCGAAGGCTCTCCACAAGAAGCCTTTGGGAATGCCTCAACGGCAGGTATCGTCGGGCCGGGAGGCTTACTCCGACAGGCGGTGAGGATGCTTCTCAGTTACCTGAGAAACATACGAAAATGCTCGATTGGGCCAAAGGGGTGCTGTGTGGCCTGTAGGAGAGAGCTAAGAACCCGACGAAAAGAGAACCGAGTGCGCCTTCTGCAGGTCCTAAGAGACAAAGGTCTCAAGAGGGAGAAAGCTCCCGCGCAGGTATGGGAGTGCGCCTGCTCTGTTCAGCGAAATTGTTAAGCGGGCTGGATCAATTATCTTGGGGGTCTTCGATCGAAGCAGAGGAGATGGCACCATGTCAAGGGAAAACTGGAGGCGCGTGGCAGCAGCCTTCTCCTATGTCTTTCTGAGGGTGGTCAGCGGAAACCCTGGTCCACCTCCGCGATGTGAGGATGGTGGCTCGAATCATGGCGTCCACAAAAGGATTGTCTGCGCCGACAAGCGGTCGGCGTATCTATATAAGTCTGCACTGTCTCTGGTGGCGGAGGTTAGGGAGGACGCCAAGCTGGAAGCCGTGGACGAGAATGAGCTTCCTGCCAGCCCGAGTGCCCGTGTCTGGCTCCCCCCTAGCCCTCCGCACCGGAGGAGCTTTCATTAGGAGGCGCTTTCAAGTGCTCCTCCAATATACCTGGCGACACTGAGCATAGCGTTTAGCGCTAGAGTAGGAGTGGTCCAGAGCGCCCCGCTGATTCCAACGAGGGCCGCCGTTTGTACGCGCTCTAGCTTTCTAACTTGAGAGGTATTTTCCAGTGAGCTCCCCCACACAATGACCCCATATAACATTATTGGCTTAATAATGGTTCCATATAGCCGGTGCATCACTTTTGTGGAAAGGCCTCATCACTTACCCATGGCAGTCTTGCAGCAGTAGAGAGCCGCCGATGCCTTCTTTACTCGTTCCTCAACATTAGGTTTTCATGACAACTTCCCGTCCATGATCACGCCCAAGAACTTGACCCTGTCAGAGAGAACAAGTGGAACACCCCCTATTGAGAAGAGCTGGGCATGAGGCTTTTTGTACCTCCTGGTAAAAAGAACGAGCTAGCGGACCAATTTTTGACCACGTTTATGTACCTTTGCATAAGATCGTACAAAGTGTTCAAGAACTTTCCTCTGACGATGAGTGCCACGTCATCCCCGTAGGCAATAACCCGGCATCCTCTCCTTTCCAACTCCTCCAGGACATCGTTTACCACCCTGCGGGTGCGTCTGCTCAATCGACGATGACCCAATCCGCTGTGACAGTTCTCTCGTGAAGCATATGTGAGATGAACCTAACTAAGTAGCTCTCGACTCCGAACTTAGCAAGGGCCCTTATTATCGCCCCAAGCAGGACATTATTGAAAGCCCCCTCGATATCAAAGAAGGTACCTACTACAAAATCTTTTTTCTTAACAGGAATCCTGTTTCTTATGTACAGGTCAACCAGTCTCTCAAAAGTCTTCAACAAGATAGATGAGCGACTGATTGGTCTGAAGTCCCTCGGGGATACATGAAGTTTATTTCCTGCTTTGGCGATGAACGTGATCCTTGCACTCCTCCAAGCCCCAGGGATGTACCCTCTTTCTAAGCAGCTCGCATAGATAGGGGTGAGCCAGCAGCAAGAGACCTCCACAGCTTTTTGCAGCTGCGGAGGAATGATGCCATCGGGTCCAGGGGACTTGAAAGGCTTGAAAGAGGCAATTTCCTCTCCAGTAGTTCACCGGAGGCAGTCGCCTGTTCCAACACCGGTGGGCTAACACGGTGCAGAACTTTCCGGGCAATGAGTGTCAGGGAGTAGCTTAAGCGATTTCTCTCCACTCATCGCCCAGTTTCCCTCTTCGTCCCACAAGTATCCCAAAGGTACGGGATTCCTCGCGAGGATTCGCCTA